CTGAAGGGGGGATTGAAGCTCCAGCCACTGACCACCAATGCTGAAGGGCAGATATTGTTACAGCTACAGTTTGTTGCCTGACAGTCATGCCGCACCCCTGGCTTCACTCCATACGGAGTCACTGACAATACAGAACAAGCATGCAGATGAGACTTTGTGAATACTGAAGCCAGGGGATCAGCACAAAAGCTTCCTGTCCAGGACGAGATCAGCAATGGCATCCCCTGCACGTCTCCCATGACAGGTTCACTTTCATTAAAAATACAGAAAATTAGGAGTTTAATGGTGCCGAAATCCGGGGACAAATCTCCATGGAAACTGGGGACGGCTATGGAGCTCAGGTGAGCGGTGCACAGCCCAGAAAGGGTTAACCATGGAACTCATCTCCCAGTTTGCATACAGCACTGGTGTCCCAGTCCGGTGTGACTGGTTTGGGCTGTTCAGAGGAATGTGGAGAGGGGAGATGGTGAGGAACGCTGCAGGGGGGCCATGTACACAACCAATTAGATGCTCTCCTCAGGGAGGCGGGCGGACGGACTTTGTGATTGGGTCAACAAGCCCAACTGGGGCATAGCAGGATCATTGTATGGCCGGGGGCCCATTTTGAGCAATTTTTCCGAAAATATTAAGGGACGCGGTGCTACAGATTTTATTGCAGCACTGAGGCCAGTCATGTGACTATAACAGGCCAGTCATGTGACTAATTAGCAGGTCTGTACCTACAGAAGAGAAGCAGTCTAGAATCCGCAATAATGTTCGAAAGTGGCCTCGGTCTCCAAGAAAAAAATAAATGGGGGGCAAGAGTGTACGGTGTGGGATTCATAGTCCCTTATGATCCTGCCAATGAAGTACAGACAAGTCCCCAGCGTCCTCCGGGCTCTCACCATAGATTACTCATAAGGAGAAAAGATTCTCCACTTTAATACACGGTAGTAAAAATAGCTGTACGGATATTGTATGTTGCCAACACATACCGGGGCGTAAACTCCCCCGAAGACCAAGGCTAAAACAACAACACAAGCAGGCCAGTATATTGCAAATAAAGAGAACCTGTAACCAAGCAATGCATGCATTTTGTGGCGCATTTTTATGCCCCTTGATGCAAGTTTTTGATGCATTGTAATGGGTTTTTCCTTCTATGTTTTGGCCAATGACCAGCAAATTACCTCATTTGGTGTCTTCATCGTATCTGCTTCCTGCTCGTTCTGTGTAGTTGAGCTTTCTGAGCAGTCCATAGTCATGACGGCTTTGACACGTCTATAGGCAGCCACTGCCGCAGTCAGCGATGTCCTCTCAGGCCCTCTGGCGCTTGTAATTGCGGTCGCTGGAATGGTACAGCAATGGCCCTCACCAGCCATATTAGTTCTTCCCGATCAGGCATGGTGCGGCCTATTCGCGCCATCTTCCTATGAAGCCTGGCTAGAGTACATGTTGCTAGGAGAAGGAGACTGGTTGTGTATCAGATATAACAAAATGAATACAATGGTATATTCTACAGAACCAAAAGGGAGGGAATAAGATAAGCTCAAAGATAGGGATTTTAAAGAAGAACTCCAGGTATGCAAAAAGCTAACCCTTGCAGTGGGGCTGCCCCTACACACCCACCCCCCC